GGAATGCAGCTCAATTTGGAGGACATAACAATAGGTTTCCGATTTTCTTGAGTTCGTTTTGTCCTCCCAGTTGAGCCAGACTTCGGGGATAAGACCTTTGAGGGGCGTTTACGATATATTTATTTCATTGGCTATAGAGGTTTTGCACCATCAAGTCAACGGCAGCCAAGTTAGATGGCAGGAACAATACAATCATTTTACATAAGAAAGAATTCAATTCCCAAGTAAGAGAAAAGGAATTTTATTGTTTTGCCATCTAACCACAGGCAGCCTATGCTATATTATTGGCATGGGCACGTGATAGTGCAAAACCTCTATTGATATTTTAAATAGCAAACAAGTAGTTCAAAATATGGCGGCAAATTTATTGGGGGGCTATAGCCCCCAGTCCCCTCTTTTTCCCCCTCCGCGATGCCTGTGAGCTGGTTTGGCGTCATATGCAAGGCTTATAGGTTCTATAGGGGTGTTGTCTTCATAGAGTGGTTTTCGCATGAAGAGGGAATTTTTGACCTATAGCACGTAAACGCTGCGACAAAACGAAAACTTTATTAACGAGGGATGCGTTATTCTTAAATTACACTTTACGTCATCGCAGCATCTGGTGCCATATAAGAAAATATTTCTTTTTAGAATCCCTCGTTAATGGCACCAAAATGGCCGCCATGTTTTTGCCTTTTGACTCTCATTTGCATGGGAATGCTTCTAACCCATCAATGAAAGTTTTAACGTTTTCTAACTTTCTCATAATTATATGAGTGACTTTAAAGAAAACTTCATATAAAGCTATTTTATCTTCAAATCTAATTGATTATAGCAGTTTCTCCATTTTTTTCGTTTTTTACTCGTTTTCAGACAATAATTCAAAACGATGATATTTTTTTGTCACCTAATTTTTATGAATTATAAACAACAATGTATAAATCAATTATCAAACAGAAAATGAAATATCATATGTAAATAGGTAAAAGTTTCACGTCTTGGTCGATCAAAGGCTGTTGGTAAGATACTTGATACTAAAAGCCCTATGCCAGAAGATGCTGTAAGATGGTAAGCCGTAAATATAAATTTATTTTAAAAGAGCAACCCTATTCATTTCTATTGTTTGATGTCGGGTTTGAAATTCGATGGAAAACCTGTCCCGGGTTTGAAATTCAGCATTGATACTAACAGGGGAAAGCGGGGTTTGACACGTGACTTAGACTTGCATTTCATATAGCTGATGGCTTCGGTATGACTTAATAGGAAGGGTCATGAGTGTCTTACTGAATTAAAGGGAAAGGGATACAACTATTTTCTAAAGACTACATTTCTTTTAATTTCGGTTGAAATTTTGATGGGAAACTTGTCCCGGGTTTTGGATTCAGCATTTTTGTTATTTTATTCAGTAACTTTGCACTAGCTGAGAAAAGACTCGAAGTCCACGCGAGTTCCGTGAACCTGAGACAAGATGCATGTACATATAAACTACATTTAGACAATATACATCAAAATATAAAATGAAAATAAAGCTTAAGACAATAAATATATATACTAGAGGCGTCAGCAACAGCAAAAAGCAGTCAAAAGCGGAAAGCAAGAGAGAAAAATAGTGAGATCGCAGCAGTGTTTTAAAAGACGAAACGGAATTAGAAGAATGAATCATAGAAGGCAGCTAGTTCCAAAAGACTACAATGCGATTGAAAAAGGAATCCATTTAGGTAAATGTTTTGCATGAATGAACCCTGTAGTCTGTACTGATAGCCGGCTTTTAGTAGATCTGAATGAAAGCGAGCATGAAGTAAATAGCTAGATAGATCTATATCACTTGAAAAAATAAAAGAGATCTAAATATTCAGGCCAGTAAGAGTAGGTTGAGTTTGACAAGCCTGTCTTTGTAAGATAGATCTGATTGGTACCTGAGAATAAATTTAGTGGACGCTGGATGCGTTCGAGGAGTAAGGTATCCCGCGAGCTTGATTACGGTGCCCAAACCTGACTGCCATAACAAAGGATTGACAATAACAGGGAAGAGGGGGATGCATTCAAAACCCGGGACAGGTTTTCTATCGAAATTTAAACCTGACATCTAACAATGAAATTAGGGCGTGGTTGGTTTTTAAACCAGTTAAAACGCACGTGCTCGGGTTTGCATTGAAATTCAAAACTTTACGACTGCGGGCCTAGGGACCCCAATTTAGATTAAAGTGAATGGTGAAAATAAAATCGGAAAAATTTAAAAATGCAATTTTGTCCTGAAAAAGTAAACGGAAATCTCCAAAATTTCAAGTTAAATGAAAGACATCCATTTAAATTTTCACTGAACCTGACATCGTGTTGAATTATCTGTAGTTATCTTTCATTTTTCATGTAAAACCAACAAAAAAAGCGAAAAAATGTCGACCATATAGAATTTTGTGGAATGATCTTTCAAGAACAAAACTAGCCCTGTGGTGTGGCTGGTGGTGGGTCGTGTACACGTTACGAAAATCCTGTACGGGAGAGTAGTAAGGTCGATATTCGTTCTCGACCAAGTCCTACGCAGGTAAGAACCTTGACATAACATGGCAGAAAACTTTCTGCACGAAAATTTCGCTCATAGAAATCTTGGAGGAAGAGCCAAAAGAGTTTTAAATAAATGAATCCCCCATATCGTAAGGATCATTTTGATCAAGCTTTTTGTGGAGTTCGAGGTTCTCAGTTTAGAAGACGATGAAATCGTGGTTTAAAGTGAGTTGTTTGTTCAAATATGGTGATTGAAGTTTCCTCCCTTGTCAGAGTATATATACATAAGATCAACATTAGATAACATAGGGAAATTATTATAGGAAAATACAGGCGCGCGCGAAACTGAAAACAATGTTCTAGTGCATTTTTTAATGTTTTTTTTTTTTTTACTCTTTCGCATTACGGAGGACATTATCTTGATCTCAAATTTAAAAAATTCATAATTTCTTAATTTTTCCGATTTTATTTTTAACATTCACTTTAATCTAAATTGGGCTCCCTGTACTGCGGGACTGCGGCCCTCGGTCTTGAATTTCAATGCAAACCCACTAGTGTTGCACTAGTGTTTTAACCTTTATATAGTTACACTAGTGTTTTACTGGGAAATGGAGGCTTTGTACCATCACGTGATGGAAGCCATGACAGGAGGCACAGAGTCTTTTCCCACTGGAAATCTGAATTATTATTTCTCATGTAAATCAGATGAGACTAGATTCCATTGTATCTGTCTTCTGTCATGTCTGCCATCACGTGATGGTGCAAAGCCTCTATACGCCACTGTATTTTTCATCCAATTACATCCGGAACCCCAATGACATATTATACACATTACCACTAGTAAAGATATCAATGACGTCCTTTCCAATCTTTTCAACAAGTTTTTGTTTGTGAATGTATTTATGTGATAAAAAGGAATTGCGTGCAATATTTTCGCCACTTGAAGATAAACTTTGTATCTTCGCGCCAGCGGTAATGCCCTCTATTTATTTACAAACCAACCGCCACTCCACTTACGGGGCTCTTCCGTGAGTTCTCTCCACAAGCATTACCACTACATTCTTTATTTGCAACATACAACGCTCAACTCACATATTTATTTTTTTACGGAAAGAACAAGGACAACCCGGAGAAAACCCTCGTGGCAAAAGAAGAGAACAATACATCAAACTAACTCAATTCATATGTGATGCAGTTTGAACCTGGACCAAAGCGGTCAAGGGCGAGGGGTTAACCAATACGCCATCCAATCCACCTATGCTTAACGCTCGAAGGCAACTCCTGCAATTCAAATCAGGGCTTATCGCCAAAGTCATGATTTTTCAATCAATTTTATTTCATCTTAAAATAGTCAATCAAGTAGTTTTTTTGCTTTTATCTGGGGCTCCAAATTTCAGATTAATAGGTTTTCGTTAAATTGCAAGATCAATTTAAGGGACTAATGGTTGAAGTATTAACTAAAACTTTCTTCTTATGTTACGATTATTTTGTTAGAATTTCATTTCAAGCATCAAGAGAAATCTACATTGCAAGTTCTTGTTTGGAAAATGCTAAACAAAACAAATTGACCCATAATTCCTTGTGGTGAGTGCGGCCCGATCAGCTAGATCCTATTTAATATCAATTTCATTGAATTTTACTAGGAGCCCTCCAGAAGTGATAAAAGACGGTACTTACTCGCATAGCAGTGATGTATATTCATTTGGTATCGTGTGCTATGAGTTGTTTGATGCTCTTGATGCTGCAAAAGAGAGTAAAACAGACGACGTCAAACCCTTCCCTACCATCGAAGACAACCAGGTTGGCGTTTCTATGGATGTCCAGATCTTGTCTTCCCTTTTGAACAACTAATTAGCATATTAATCTTTCTTTCTTTCTTGTTTTAGATTCTGGCCCATCTACAAGCTAACAAACGTCCAACGAGGCCACAACTTATGCCAATATGGGTTCACCTTGTTGCAAAACAGTGTTTGCTGCTTTGGCCTTCTGAAAGACCGCCATTCGTTCTTATCGAGGATGCCTTAACTTCCTGGTAAATTGCCTAACAGTTGCATTCTATTTCCATAACACATTAATGTTATAATTCATTTTTTCTAATCCTACAGCAAACCCTTCGAATCTTGCTTGCTGTATCATTGGGTTAAAAAGCACGAAAACGAGGCCGACAACATTGACGTTAACGTGACTCAGTCAATGAAAGCTAGTCATGTGATTCCCAAAGAAAGCCATCAAACGTTTGAGAAGCTCCGCCAGCTTGCCGCAGTTGAGGTGTTCCTGGATCACACTTATGTATACGCACCTAGAAAAAAAGACGATGAAGATGACGAATCCGCATACGAGGAGCTTCCTCTCGCCCTAAATTCGGAAGGTAATGATTCAAATGATGTAGTAAATGTGTTACTAGATAATTATCATTAGTCAAATTCCATTAGCGGTCTAACATCAATGCTGCATTCTGATTGGATGAGCTACTAGTAGGCTATACGCTATAACTTACTAATATCTAGTAGTCTGTTAATCAAGGCCCTGTTGTACGAAGCCTGGATAGCGCTATTCAACGGATAAATCTTATCCAGTGGATAAATTTGATGGATAACAGCATCGCCTTAACCACTGGATAAGGATTTATCCGCTGGATAGCGCTATCCAAGCTTCGTACAATCGGGCCCAGCAGTGAAGAAACAATTTTGAGAAATAGAACAAGTCTCTTTTATCCAAACATGTTTTGGCGTACATACAACCTAGATTATATATAGGTGATAAGAGCACGTGAGAATTTGGTGCCTAATATAGAAAAGAAATTAAGCAATGGTCGATGCTTAACGTGATAAATATATTGATGGTGCACGCGGATAGTTGGGAGATCAGGATGGTAGCGTAAAAGCTGCACTCTAGCTACCAGAGTGCTCTCCCGGCCCGATCCCAACTATCCAAGTGCACCATCAATAGATTTACGCACTGCTAGAGCATTGACCATTGCTTTTATAACATAAAGAACAAATTTACACAATAAAAACTGTTTTTTTATTTTGCTCTGATCGAATCACAGATTATCTTAAGATGCGAGAACGATACTTTACGAGCTAAATTTGAAATCAGTCACGTCTTGTGTTCGGAGCAAAAACAGCCCAAATTGTATTTTAAACTTCATTTTTAAAACTTTTTCCGAAAAGTTCGTGCAATGGAAGCAGTTCCTAAATGTATTCTTAAACGTTTTCATTCAAAAGAAAGTTTTAAAGTTCATTTGACTGAGAAGAATTCAATTTAGCAATTTTCGTTGGCGCTTGGCTGCATCACATTTTTTAGATAGATAGATAGATAATAATAATAATAATAATAATAATAATAATAATAAATATAATAACAGTACTTGTATAGCGCATTCTGCTACCTCAATGCGCTGTGGAGATAAAAACGAAAATAATAAATAGTTCAGTCCAGCAAACAGGTTCAAAAGTTTTAAATTAAGTAGGCTGATTGAAAGAGTACAGTTTTCAGGAATGACTTAAATTCGGGAAGGCTGTCAGATTTCCTGATGGTGTCCGGTAGTGAGTTCCATAGTGTAGGACCAGCAACTGAGAAAGCACGGTCGCCATAATTTGAAGTGAAGGTACGAGGAACAGACAGTAGGCTTTGTTTAGATGATCTCAGTGAGCGTACAGGCTTGTGTTCTTGTAGGAGCGCGGAGACATAAGCGGGAGCAGAACCATGAAGAGCCTTGAAGGTAATCAGCAACAATTTGAAGATTATTCTCTCTTTAATCGGTAGATTTCGTTCTTGTGACAATCCTTGCAGCAGTATTTTGGATTCCCTGTAGTTTCTTGATTTGGGAGTCAGGAAGACCATAAAGAATACTATTACAGTGGTCAAGTTTTGACGATACAAAAGCGTGTATAAGACGTTCAGTCTCGGTCTTTCCAACGTAGTTAAGTATTCGTCCAATATTGCGTATTCCCAGTGATGCTGCTTTGCAAACATTATTCACATGTGTTGTCAACTGAAGATGACTGTCGAGAACGACACCAAGATCACGAGCTTCAGCTTTTGGAGAAATGTCATTACCATTCAGGCTGACAGACAATGGCAGATGTTGACGGAAACGCGACGTGAAATGAAGAATGTMAGTTTTCCCATGGTTACATACTAGCTTGTTAGAGGACAACCAACGCAAAATGTCCTGGAGACAACACTCTAGAGATGACAAACCAGGGTCCCTGTTCTTGGGGTTTAAGGAGACATAGAGTTGGCTATCATAAACTTTATTTACCCTCGGTTTTAAAATGAGACTTGCTAGGCCTCTAGCATAGCTGCTAAAGATTCGAGAGAAAAAAAGTGAAAATATAACTAGAAAGAAAAACGAAAAAAAAAAAAAAATTTTTTTTTCGAAAACTGAGTAGAAAGAATCCTTCAGTAGCTTTACTTGGAATCCAGTAACCATCGTGGTGTTTTAAAGGAGTACTGTGGGGACCTGTAGGGCGGATTTAGCAAGAAAAACTGAACTAATTGACTTCTCAACTGCAAGACTTCTTGATTTTGCTGTGAGTGAGCTGGCCGGTGGAAGGGCGAGTTTTTTAGTAAGCCAAACTTGTGCTCAAACAAATACGCTATAAACTTTTTATTGGAAGGAAATCAATAGTTATACAGGAAGGTAGAAATACAGAAAGGTAGACAAGTTAGTAGTCTTTTTAGTTTTATCTGAATGCTTGCAATTTTCACCAAATGTTTACCAAATTGACGTCACCAGCGTGCTCTATACGTACGGTGGCCAGAAGGGGCAACACAAAAAAAAGCACAACGCAAACGAAAAAAGCACAACGCAAACAAAAAAGCAATGATACTAAGAGACTGGGTTCTAGGTATATATAGCTATATATATTATATATATATATATATATATATATATATATATATGCAAGTTTAATCATGTCCAATTTTTACAGGGACACGCATGTTTTCCTTTTTCAAAGGCTCATTTAACTGGCTAATCAGGCAAGAGCACTGTGGCTACTGGCATGCAATACTGATCATTAACTTTTGAAAAAGTTCTAATGATTTCCCTGCAGTGTTTGGATAATAGTAGTTTTCATTTTCCATTACAAAATGAAAATATTCTTGATAAATATTTGCATTATAAATGTCTTCATCATCCTTATCATCAATTTGTGCCTCCATTTCTTGAATTTTATCTTTTGATACCTGCAGCATGCATTTAACAGCTCAGCCTGTTAGATTTTTTCATAGAATCAACAATTTGTTTACCGTCGATGTGGCAGCAAAAATTGGGGCCTCAGCTTGTGTACTTCCTTCTTGTCAACCTCCTGCTCTTTTTTTTTTTTTTTTTTTTTTTTTTTTTTTTTTTTTTTTTTTTTTTTGCGTGTTCCATCTGGATTCAGTTCTTTAAGAAAAGCAGCGACCCTGTGTCTTGGAACGTGAATCTCATAATTTAGTCTCAAAGAATGCCACACAGCTCTTTATGCTATAAGAAGTGAAGTCTGCCCCAATGGCTACGATTTAATTGATCATCCTCGATCACCTAGACGTGGAGATGGCTTTCTCAGTCTGACCTCTAGCTCAGCTGGTAGAGCATCGGCAGTACAATTCCGAAAGTCGTGGGTTCGATTCCCAGCGAGGTCGGAAATTAATTTTTCCGAATTCAAGCACTATAACTTATCTATATTTCTATATCTTCATGTATTTTAATATTAGTATAGTTTTAGTTTTTTAGACATTTTTTACACTTACAGAACAAATGAAAATACCCCAATTGAGATTTGCGCTATACAAATTCAATAAATTATTATAATTATTAATTATTCCATGATTTTGATGCAACAATTCGTTGATAACTTCATTCTGGTAACCTTGGTTGAAATAGCGTTCAATGAAATCTAAATCTTCCATCACTCATTTAAAATCTTCATATGAAAACAAAAAGTTAGTAGTGGTTCTACACTCTCGTAACTGCTTCTACAGGCTTTTTAGAACAACCAGCGGTTTGGCTGTGGGAGCCTAGAACCCAGTCTCTTAGTCTCGTTGCTTTTTTCTTTGTGTCGTGCTTTTATTTGTTTGCGTTGAGCTTTTTTTTTTTTTTTTTTTTTTTTTTTTGACCCTTTTGGGCCACCTTACATACGAGTACTCCATACATTTTTTTTGTTCATAGGTGGTGAACCAATCGGAGCACGCGTTATATCTTAGTTATGTTATAATCTATTATGTATAGGAAAGATTACAGAAATAAGGGCGAGTTTAGTGCGTGTCAACTGTTGATTCAAAAGGGGTTGTTCCCATTTGATATGCATAGCCGCTTTGATTTTTAACTGGTAATCAGTTTGCGCAGAGTCAATAATTGCAAAGCTACGTCCTTAATTAGCCAGTAGAGAGCTTACGAATCGACGACCGTTTGCACGACGACGACTTCTAGTGACGTCACCAACTAGGTTGGCGTCGTAAGTGGCGTCGTAATAGAATTTAGCTTACGAAGGTAGCACGACGGCATGCCGAAAACGCGCGTGCGCGTCTACATTAATTTCCCGCCAAAAGGTTTCAATTTAATTTTCATCGGTTTTTTGAGACTTGTAACTGTTGTTTCTTTGTTTTTATGTTTGACTCGTAAAATTTAACAGTTTTCTTTTGAAACACTCTATCCTTTGTTTCCTTGTTTACATGCCGAACTTCAGAGAGACGAGACTTTGTATTTTACATGCTTACCG